AGAATAAAACATAACCCTTGCAGTGGGACTCCCCCCCCCCCGGCTCACCGGTCCCCCACAGCCTCTCTCCACCTCCACTTTGGGGATGTACTGTCCCATAGTGTCCTCACATCAAATACACTGCATTCATGATGACTCATGGATCCTTAAACCACCAGAGCCCAGGGGGAGAAGAACCTGTGGGGACCGGTCAAACAGACAGGTCGGACTGAGGATCGGGTATCTCTCTATCTCCCTCTGATCAATGTTTATAAACAATGTTACTTTGTATCTCTCTATCTCCTCTCTGATCAATGTTTATAAACAATGTTACTTTGTATCTCTCTATCTCCCTCTCATCAATGTTTATAAACAATGTTACTTTGTATCTCTCTATCTCCCTCTGATCAATGTTTATATACAATGTTACTTTGTATCTCGCCATCTCCCCCCTGAGCACTGTGTCAGACGGTCTGTTTTTTTTACAGCAGCTGCTGTATTTACACATTACCTCCTGGCTGTTATATTGACATCCTGGAAATGCAGGAAGGGGAGCGGCAGAGGGGCAGACATACAGGGCATACTTCATACGCCCTGTATACTTCAATGACGTTTGTTTGAATGTGTTTAGGACTCCCAGTGTCCAATGTTTGGTTAAACACTTACAGCAATGATCAAACCCAGAAAAGGAGATTTTGCTGCTTATTATTTTTAGATTTAGTGTAGGACTGTCAGAGGAGAAATGGAGGAAACTCCAACCAAACAGCTTTGCCAGGCACAGACTCACATTCTAATGGTTGCACAGCTTTGGACTGATGCATGAACCCACAGAAAGAAAGATAGCTAATAGTTACCAAGTTAAATGCCATTTTCAAGCCAAAGACCTTGCATGTGATGACCTCTATAGCAGGCGGTTAGTAAAAAATCACTAGGGTGTGGCCAGCTTTAAATATGACGGGTGAAAAGGATATTGAAAAGTGACATTAACTTGAAGTGAATAAAAGTGCTTAGAGGAGCTCAGTGTTTCTGGCCGGTCTCAAACCGGGGACCTTTCGCGTGTTAGGCGAACGTGATTACCACTACACTACAGAAACCACCTGCTAGAGACCTCTTGCGGTCATGATTTAGTGAAGCAGTGATCACCTGTTTGGTCATTGGTTCTGGTAATTTGATATATTTAGTCCCCTTTACCCTCTAACTCTTCCATCTCTGTGCAATTTGAAAGTATCCTGTGTGCTGCAGTTTAGGGTGCTCCGGTCTGCAGGTTTTCATTCAAAGTATCACGTACCTGAATGGAGACCAAGCTGAAAAGGGGGCTACCCGTGCACCCTGGGACGGCCTTAGGCCTTTAGGCACCCTGTGCTTTACAGCGCCCCTCAGTGACCACACCTCTCAGTGGCCACACCCTTTAGTGGCCACCCCCAGTAACCACACCCATTTCTTCCAATATCCGCACCATTTAAAGACTCCTATATTGTTAAGCCGCAAATAAACATATTAAAAAAAAGTATGATAAAAATAAAACTTTTATTCAAAGGTATTAAACTTGTCGGCACAATATAAGTATTCTTATCAAATAAAACAACAGAAGGTAAACAATAAATGTCAAACTAAAATAGAGTCTATACAAATAAAGTGTCAGGTTGTCATGCCGATCCCCTTTTTCAAGTAAGTGCATCTAGAAAACTAAAAATAGAAAACAGAACACAAAACCCGGACTACTTGTAAAATTAATGAATTACTATATGTCCGAATATACGAAAAATTTATTCGGGCACATATTAAATTGTTTGAGAATGTGCGGCGGCCATGTTGGCCACCGGCGTGTTCTGTGAATGCGTGCCACCATCTTGGAGGCGGGGAGCATGATGTCACATGACGCCATGCATATGCCATGCAGGTCACACGCCAATATTGGCCCCACCATCTTGGTGTATACCTAGATATACACCAAGATGGCAGCGCCCAACACATGCGGTGTTATATGACGTCATGCGCCCCGCCTCCAGAACACGCCAATGGCTGAATCCAAAATAGCATAAAAAAGTGTTTTGTTTGATGAAACAAAAAAAAAAGTTTTTAGTTTTCGTTCATTTCATCTGAAATGAATTTTTAGTCTTTACACATGTCTAATAATACGTGTGTGTGTGTGGGGGGGTAATTTTCTCTTTTTTTAAATAATTAGGAACCCCGCTTCCTCAGCCCATACAGGCACTGGGGATCCGAGAACAGCAGAACAGCGCTGAAGTGGGACGGCGGACGAGGGAGAGCTGTCAGCGGTGAGGAGGAGAGAAGCCGCCCCGAGGATGAGCTGTGTCGGCCGCCTGGCCGCCCTTGTTGCCATGGCGACCTGTGCGGCCGCACAGCTTGCACACCCGTAAGGCCGGCCCTGCGTGCACCTCTCGTCCCACACCTCTGGAAGTAGTGACAGGGGATGCAAGGACGTGGAGAGGCACAGGTGTCGGTGGCTGGATGGGTTTCGTAGAGCCAGTTGAGTGGTGAACGAGTCTGCAGGACCAGGATAACACAAGAAACTCTAGGAACTGGAGCAGAAGTCTGGTGTGTAGCTGGTGGAGCACAGGTTGCATAAGATGGCCCAGAGTATGGGTGGTGTGGAGCACAAAGTGGAAAGCCACTATGTGTCCTGGTGAATGTTATCACTGAAAGTGAAAGAAAATCCCAAATTTTATGTTGTCACCAGAACAGGAATAGATGGGAAATCTTCCTGACCAGCAGAGATTTCCCTCTCTTTGGAGGGATTCCCTCTTACTTCATGTTGTAACTCTACCATTTAAAATTATAAAAAAATTCCAATATGATGGGTTACTTCTCAGAAAAGTAATTCAGTTCTAACACAAAGGCCTGCAGCCTCCTGGGTCTGTGTACATGCTGCTCTAATGTGAGCACTTGGTGGCTGGGAGATGGACTGCATATGCCAAGGTCCTAGGTGTCATCCTTGACTCGGACCTCACCTTTCTTCCCCACATCCAATCACTATCCGAATCCTGCCGCCTTCACCTTCGTAACATCTCCAAAATACGCCCCTTCCTCACCAATGACACCGCAAAATTACTCATCCACTCGCTGGTTATATCTCGTCTTGACTATTGCAACTCCCTCCTCATTGGCCGACCTCTACGCAGGCTCCTCCCCCCTTCAGTCTATCATGAATGCAGCTGCTAGACTCATCCACCTAACCAACCGCTCAGTGTCTGCATCCCCCCTCTGCCAATCCCTACACTGGCTTCCTATAGCCCAAAGGATAAAATTCAAAATATTAACAACCGCGTTCAAAGCCATCCACAACTCCGCCCCGTCTAACCAGCCCAATGCAGAGACGCCCCCTGTCTTTAGACAGCACCCTCTAGTGGTGGCCAGGGGCACCTCTCTCACACCAAAGCCAGATGTAATTAGTGAGCCAGGAGGCTGCAGGCCATGCTGCCTAAGATAGGACTCACTTTCAGTAATGGTAATTATGATTACTGAATTGTCTTTGTGGCTTTTTAGAGGCTGGTGAAAAAAAAAAGATTAAAAACAAATTCATAAAGAGAGTGCACTGGCCCTGCAGGATGTTTTACATCAGAACATTGACGCTTTAAGCTCCTTTAAGCTCACGCGAGCTGTTATATTTCTGTCTTTCACAGGGTCCCAGAATATGACTTTTTCCGTATTCAACAAAGGAAGGTATGTTGGTTCCTATGTATTGAGGCAGTACAGTGGTTTAGTGGTTAGCACTTCTGCCTTGCAGCCCTGGGGCTCCCCTGTGCAAGTCCTAGTCAGGATGCTATCTGCAAGGAGTTTGCATGTTCTCCTTGTGCTTGCATGGGTTTCCTCTGGGTACTCTAGTGTAAAATAGTCACTGCTCCAAGCTCACTCCCATGATGGACTAGAGCAGTGGTTCTCAACCTGTGGGTCGGGACCCCTTCGGGGGTTCGAATGACAATTTGCCAGGGGTCGCCGGGAGTCTCCCACTATTAGATAGCTATTAGATTATCATAATTATTATTAATAATAAAAGCTGACACCCTCGCCTTGTGTTATATGGTTTGCCATTTTAGCTGTTACAGCAGCGGTTCTCAACCTGTGTGTCGCGGTGTGATTTCTGCTGTGCTCGGTGAGAGTCCTCCTCAGCCCTCTCCTAGCGCAGCAGTGTCAGTTCTCCCGCCACGCTGCCAGATGTCGCTGCAGCAGCCGCGACAACCCTAAATTTTACCGTTGGGGGTCACCACAACTTGGCAAATGTTACCAAGGGGTCCCAGCCCTAGAAAGGTTGAGAACCACTGGACTAGAGGACTACAATCTCAATACAAATTAGTAAACTAAAGGTAAGACTATCGTCCATCATGGGAGTGATCTTGGAGCGGTGACTACTTTACATCACACACAAGGACCATGGGCACCAATTCAGAGATGATTGGAGTATCTACAGCCGATGGACACCTTGCGATGGAGGAAAAACGGAAACTGCTGGACCTTATGTTGGTCTATGGGGAATCTAATGTAATTCCTGTACCCTGCAGGAATGCTTCTCTGCCACTAGATGGTGCTCCTGAGTTGGAGAATACAGAGCGTCCTTCATTCCACTTATTGGGGAGTTTAGGGCGTCATGGGGCCACCCCACCATGGCGGCCTGTATTTACAGTACAATTATGCAGAGAAGGAAGCTGCTGTCATCACATCAGCGTTGTTCTCTGTGTCCTTGGGGACTGCCCCGCATAGGGGAAGAGGTGAAGAGGACATTGGACATCATGTGACCAGCCAGAAAAAATTCAAAAAGCAAATATGAAACAACATGGCAAAATATACTATATATATATATTGGGGGGCATCCAGGAGGGAAGAACTGGGATAGGGGGGTTGTAACTGGGTATTTCCATATGTCCTTATAATTCCTTATAAGATTGTTATTTGCAATTTTTACCTCTTGCTTTGTTTTGTGCTCTGTGTTATTATTATTCCCTGTATTTTACTGTATGCTGTACTGTAAAGCAATACAAAATATGTCAGCGCTGCGTTAGGAAATGCCTCTGATCATCACTCGCCTATACGAGTACAGCCTCTATAATACTAGCTATCATTTTCCCTATTACAGGTCTATAGTGAGCAAAGACTCCTGGCACATCAGTGCGAAACAAGAGCTCTTCCTCTTTCAAACACACTCAGGTACAGTGCCGTCTGCATATCTATCATATATACGTGTTATCATTCATACAATTGCGTTAAAAGCTGAACTTCAGGAATAAAAACTTTCCTTTAATATAATCCGCAATAACCACAAAATATATAAATCCACTTTGTGGGCACCGAATGCCTTTTCAAACCCAGATATTACCTTGTAAGTGTAGCAGTGACATCATCACTGTGCTGTATATTGTCCATGCTAAGAGCAGAGATGTGGGAGGGGCCCAGCAGGCCCCACCCTCTATTTCTAGGTACTTGCATAAAAGGCGCTAGATCTCCTATTGTTAATATTCAGTATTATGAGAGGCCATCTCCTTACTCAATCTGACTTGCTTTTGGTGAGGCTGATTAGAGGTAAAAGGAACCCCCAGGGGCCTGAGAAAAGTACAACAATATAGGAAGTAGTAAGAGACCACACCACTAGAGTCCAAAGCCACTGCGTTTTGGAGGCTCAAACACTCCTCCTTCATCAGGGCTTCAGTATTATATCACCTCAAATATGGTGCACCCAACAGCATGGCATGCTGAACAAATTGCTGGTGGTGGGATCCTCCTATATACACTGTACATAGAGCAATTGTTATCATAACACATTCAAGTCCACACATATTTGATTTAACACTTAAGCCGTGATGAAGTGGAGTGTTCGAGCCCTCCCGAAATGCATTGGCTTTCTTTTTGCGACCTCCGCGTGCCTTCCCTCACGTCTCTCATAATTTAGTTACAAAAAGTACTTATCACATGAAGCTTTCAGTAGCTGAGAAAATAGTGGTGGGGCAGGAAGGCAGGAAGACAGAAAGACAGCAAAGAAGGCAGGAAGGAAGGCAGGAAAGAAGGCAAGAAGGAAGGCAGAAAGACAGCAAAGAAGGCAGGACACAGGAAAGAAGGCAGGAAGACAGGAAGGAAGGCAGAAAGGAAGAAAGGAAAGAAGGCAGGAAGGCAGAAAGATAGGATGGAAGACAGAAAGACAGGAAAGAAGGCAGAAAGACAGCAAACAAGGCAGGAAGACTGGAATGAAGACAGGAAAGAAGGCAGGAAGACAGGGATGAAGGCAGGAAGGCAGAAAGATAGGATGGAAGACAGAAAGACAGGAAAGAAGGCAGGAAGGCAGAAAGACAGCAAAGAAGGCAGGAAGACAGGAATGAAGGCAGGAAGACAGGAAAGAAGGCAGGAAGACAGGAAAGAAGGCAGGAAGGCAGAAAGACAGCACAGAAGGCAGGAAGACTGGGATGAAGACAGGAAAGAAGGCAGGAAGACAGGAATGAAGGCAGGAAGGCAGAAAGATAGGATGGAAGACAGAAAGACAGGAAAGAAGGCAGCAAGGCAGAAAGACAGCAAAGAAGGCAGAAAGACAGGAATGAAGGCAGAAAGACAGGAATGAAGGCAGAAAGACAGGAAAGAAGGCAGGAAGACAGGAATGAAGGCAGGAAGACAGGAAAGAAGGCAGGAAGACAGGAAAGAAGGCAGGAAGACAGGAAGACAGAAAAGAAGGCAGGAAGACAGGAATGAAGGCAGGAAGACAGGAAAGAAGGCAGGAAGACAGGAAAGAAGGCAGGAAAGAAGGCAGGAAAGAAGGCAGGAAGACAGGAAAGAAGGCATGAAGACAGGAAAGAAGGCAGGAAGACAGGAATGAAGGCAGGAAGACAGGAATGAAGGCAGGAAGACAGGAATGAAGGCAGGAAGACAGGAAAGAAGGCAGGAAGACAGGAATGAAGACAGGAAGGCAGGAAAGAAGGCAGGAAAGAAGGCAGGAAGAAGGCAGGAAGGAAGGCAGCATCTTCTAAAACCACCTTGTGCCATCTATTTATGGTACTACTAACCACTGTCTCTGCTTGTCAAGAGAAGACTCATCCCCTTCTGTCACCTACCTGAACATCTCCCCTTGGCCATGGGGGGAAGGCGAAATTTTTACTATATATGTCGTACATAATTATTATCTGTACATTAATAATGTTCTTATTTTGCTCTTTCCTCTTTAGAGATCCGGTCGGTGAGTCCAGAGTCGGGCAGTATAGGTGGAGGGACAGATGTCACCATTACTGGGGATTTCTTTCAGTATTCAGTTAAAGTCACTGCAGCAGGTATGGAAATGTCACTATTTTACCCTTCTTTGCTACCCTCCATAGACTATCCATGTAAGTGAAAGCGCTGGAGACCAAATACGATCCATAATTCCTCTTTATTGATTAAAAGCCAAAGTCTAGTACGTATACAAGCCTTAGTCATAGCTGTGACTAAGGCTTGAATAGCTGAAACACGTTAAGGCCTTGTTGCTGGGACACATGACAACCAAGTTGTTGCTGGACTCATGGCTGAGGCTGAGCCTTTCATGTTTTATAGGAAATGACATCACGTAGTTCTACCAGAGAGAACAATACAATACACGAGCATTAAACACAACAACACTTCCCCCTACTGGCAGAGGCAATAATCACAGCGTAATATATGAGAATGGTAGGTGCACCTATGTCTGTATAACCGGCATGCCAACATATTCATGTTTTTGTTCATTTTTTAGGAGCCCCGTGCAAGATCAGATCTGTTTCTCCCAGATTGATTGTTTGTACAACATCGCCAAACAGACAGACCCAGAATCCTCCTCATCCAGGTAATCATGGCATTTTTTTATCTGGTGAATGAAGCATCCTCTCAAGTGTCTCGGTGTCCCTCTGAACATGCCAGCCCCTTGGCTAGTGTCACCCAAAAGATTAAACAGTTACGGAAGCACCATTAGGGGCTTTGCAGGGGAGGTGAAGAGTGTTTGTTCAAGCTCTGATCTCTATGCAGACTACTGAGAACAGCAGTGAGTTCAGTTACATGAGCAGGGGGAGGTATTGCATGAGCACGGGGGTGTTGTTGCATGAGCAGGGGGATGTTGTTGCATGAGCAGGGGGATGTTGTTGCATGAGCAGGGGGATGACGATGCATGAACAGGGGGATGACGCTGCATGAGCAGGGGGATGATGTTGCCTGAGCAGGAGGATGATGTTGCCTGAGCAGGAGGATGATGTTGCCTGAGCAGGAGGATGATGTTGCCTGAGCAGGAGGATGATGTTGCCTGAGCAGGAGGATGAAGTTGCATGAGCAGGGGGGATGAAGTTGCATGAGCAGGGGGGTGATGTTGCATTAGCATGGGGATGAAGTTGCATGAAAAGGGGGATGACGTTGCATGAGCAGAGGGGTGACGTTGCATGAGCAGGGGGATGAAGTTGCATGAACACGGGGTGACGTTGCATGAGCAGGGGCATGAAGTTGCATGAGCAGGGGGATGACGTTGCATGAGCAGGGGGATGACGTTGCATGAGCAGGGGGATGC